CTTGGTTCAAAATGCAGTTCTCTACCGTCTCACTAGCTGTTGCCCGGCTACGGCGCGGCCACCGTCGTCGCTCAGTCGTCGGACCAGGCTTCTTGTTCTTTGACAAAGAAATGCCCTGAAGAAGCCCCCTGCTGTTCCCGTACGTGTATCGCGCAGACCTTTCCATAGGCCAATGATGCTAATACACTGCTATACAGAATATGGCGCCTGCGGTGTTGGTGCCTACTGCCTCGGCGGATGTGACCCTCGCATGTCCTTCTCGTTGGATTCTTGCGCGCCTGCGCCCGTCTGCAAGGACATGAACATGAAGATGGACAGCACAGATAGCATCGTCGACGTCAGCAAGTACCTTGGCGACGGCGACAAGGCCGACTGGGTGGTGCAAGGAGAGGCCGTCGAGGCCGGCGGCAATGTGCTCCTCACGATGCCCAAGGGCAGTGTTGGTACCGTCATGGCCAGCTCACACTACATGTGGTACGGCAGTGTCAAGGCCCGCATGAAGACGTCGCGCGGTCGGGGTGTCGTGACGGCCTTCATCCTGCTCAGCGATGTCAAGGACGAGATTGACTACGAATGGGTTGGCGTCGACCTCAAGACATCGCAAACCAACTATTACTTCCAGGGCATTCCTCTCTGTAAGTACTTTCCCAAATTGTCCGGCGGATTCACGCTAATCGCGAGCAGACGATCAATCAAAGAACATTACTCTGTCGGATACCTTCAACAACTGGCACGAGTACGAGATTCAGTGGACCCCCGACAAGATTACCTGGCTCGTCAATGGACAGGTTGGTCGTGTCAAGGAGCGCAAGGATACCTGGAACGAGACAACCCAAGGCTGGGACTTCCCCCAGACTCCGGCGCGTGTGCAGCTGTCCATCTGGCCCGGCGGCCTCGAGAGCAACGCCAAGGGCACAATCGACTGGGCTGGTGGTGTGATTGATTGGGAACATGAAGACATCAAGAAGGTCGGCTACTTCTATGCTGCCGTCAGCGACGTCGAGATCAAGTGCTGGGATGCCAAGAGCGCTCCTGGAACCAACAACGGCAAGAGCTACATTTACGACAATTGGCTCGGTAGGAACAACACCGTCATCGACGGCGACGCGGACACGAAGCTCAAGAGCTTCACAAGCAGTGGCCGCGATACGGAGGAGAACGACGACGACAAGGAGACTGACTCCGCGACCAAGACCAAGTCTGCCGCATCAGCCACCGATACGGGCGCGAGCTCCAACCAAATCCCCGGCGCAGGTGCTGCCAACCCTGGCGGTGGCGTCACGCATGGCGAGGACGGCGACAGCAGCAGCGGCAGCGGCAGCGGCGATGACAGCGGCAGCAGCGGATCTGACAGCGGCTCTTCAGGCCCGATCGACGACAGCAACTGCGACTCGTCCGAATTCAACCAAGACATGGGCAACTGCGGTGGCAATTCCCAGGGCCAGGGCTCTAGCACTGGCTCGAATGGCTCGAGTGACTCGCCAAGCATGGCTTCTAGCCTGGGATTGACCCAAAGCCTCAGCGCCTCGCGGGCCTCGCCGTGCTGGTCGGTCTGTACCGCCTTTGAGGTGCTGCTCGCCCCTGACGCTTGATGTTCTTGTCTTCTTTTGGTTGCATAAGCGTGTTTTCTCACTGGGTTGGATGTTCCTGATCTTCTTTTTTTCTTCCGGGTTGGTCATTGGGCTTCTACGGCGGTAGTCAGGTTTGCGGACCTCGCTTTGCCGTACTGACAATCCATGTTTTGGTGGGCCTCAGATTGTGCGAAGGAAGAGTTTCTCGCGGAGATGAATGATGTCTGTGTGTTGTTTTGTAGTAATGGCATGTGCCGTCCGATCCTTATTATTTTTCAAGAATCGCTCTGTCATTGTAGCAGACGATTAGCCCAAGCACATAATGCACATCGACGGACGACCAGCCGTCTTATATACATAAAAGCTGACGGACACGTGTTTATTATTTATGTTGTCAATGTCTCATGTGGTCTGACGATACATCATGTTGATTCGTTGGCGCTACCATGAGCTAGACCTCGGCCTGCATATACTCTGGCTCAACATGCCTATACACTCGTCAATAATTTCAACCGCGACACACTGAGCGAGCGATCTGGCACAATTCTGGCTATTTACGTTGAGTGGGAACTTACTAGCGGGGACCTAGGCTGCTCTGGTAAGGCAGGACATACCATGCTGCCTATCGATAGTGCCTCGCCATAAGGAGCCGCTGGCCTTGATGCACCAACATGTGCGCCTCGGGCTCGTTGTTATCTCCAAACTGCTCCTGGTCATTATCATCTGGTACGAGATTTCCCGATGGAGAGTTCATCTTATCAGTTAGAAGGCTGGAGACTCATTGTTGCGGATCAAACGGGAGACTGCGGCGCTCTTCGCCCTGTCAAATGTCGATCGAGACGACGTTATAGACTGGGTGAAATGCACCGAAGGCGAGATGCGTGTGCTGACGGTAGTAGAGAAGCAGTTGCAATGCATGCGATCACCATCTCAATCCTTAATCTTACTCTGCGGGCCGTCAATTAACGATGTGGAGCTTCGAGATTGACTTTGAGTTCCGGGCCAGATCTGGATCAAAGTGACATCGCGGAAATGTCATTGAAAGCGATTCATGAATTCTCGTCATGATTGACAAGGAACTGCTGTGTCCACTCTGCACTGCGATTGCAGTACGGTGATCCGTTGGCTTATGATCCCCAGCGCTCCATATTAGCCACAACAGAAGATCTCTCTGCTTGCTTATGTCACCAGGATTGGACATTGGTCCCCATACCCTCGAGGCGCGCACGTGATTCAATTGGCTCATGCGCAACCTGCAAGAAGTTCCCATTCTGACGGGCCGTGCTTCAAAATTTGGAGCTTCGCTCGAGACAGCTGTCCGACGACGACGACGACGAAGCCGCCGGCAGCCGCACACATATTCACAATGCCCCCGAGAATGTCACCCCTTCAAGTGGCTGCATGCTGCAGCCGTGCACTTCGACCTACGGCGACGACACTCCACTTAGCCTCCCTGTTCGCGAGCCTGTCCATTGGCACCCGACACGCCTCTATTCTGGCGAACTTGAGCGACAACAAGGGCGCCTATAACAAGCGAATCCGTGTTGGTCGTGGTGCCTCGTCAGGCAAGGGCAAGACTTCAGGACGCGGTCACAAGGGTCAGGGACAGCACGGCAAAGTCAAGCCATGGTTCCAGGGTGGTCAGACGCCCCTGGTGGTACAGAGGGGAACGAAGGGTTTTGAGAACAGGTTCGTGGACAGGATGCATTTTTGACTCCTTACGAGAAGCCCAGATGAATGTTGCCGAGGCTAACTGGTAACAGGCGCGCCCCCGTCATGTCCAAGATCAACCTCGATAAACTCCAGCAGTGGATCGACGCCGGCCGCATCGACCCCACGAAACGAATCACCGTGAAAGAGCTTGTCGAGTCCAACCTCGTAGGCACCATCAAGGACGGCGTCAAGATCCTTGGCGGCGGCAAGGAGGCTCTGCGCCAGCCCATTGACATTCTGGTGTCCCGCGCCTCGGCCTCGGCCATTCAGGCCATCGAGTCGACCGGTGGAAAGGTCCTTGCGCGGTACTATACCAAGACGGCCATCCGTGGCATCGTCAAGGGCACGACCGAAAACTCGGACAAGCCGCTGCCGCAGGGCAAAGAGCACGTCGAGAGCATCTTGGCTGCTGCTAGGACGACACGCTTTCTGAGGAGGTTGCCGGATCCGACGAGCAGGAGGGAGATTGAGTACTATCGCGACCCCGCGCACAGGGGATACCTGAGCCACCTGCTAAAGCCCGGCGAGTCGCCCAGTCTGTACTTCAAGGTGCCCACGGAGAAGGTTGGCACCTTCAAGAAGGAGAAGACGAAGAAGGAAGTGAAGGCGACCGCTGCCTTGTGGTAAAGGAGCGAGGCAAGTGTAATTTGTAGTGTATTTCGGCACGTGTACAATACCATGATTGTTCTGTACAAACTACGATCGCCGAAGCAGTACAGCAATCCGATTTGGCGACTCACGTTTACAGTCCCTGCCAATTGTCCTCATCATGATGACCCCTTAAACTCGTTAGATGCATACACTCGGTCCGCAGACGCGGCGGCCCCCCAGAGTGGACCCAGCCACTGCTCCGCACCAGCACCAGAGCGTGTTGCTGCAGGTCGTCCAAGCTCCCGCCCGTGACGAATCAAGTCCACTCCCACCCTCAAGCCAGTCCAAGGCAACTGTCATCACGTCGTCGTTCTGGTCTTCAACGACATTCGCTTGAATGCTGTGCGGTTGATCAGCCTTTGCGTCGCTGTTGGAACTGAAGAACTTGGATCGCTACTCATTGGGAAGCGCACTAGACGGACTTCTGCTCTCCTCGTTGCGGTCTGCCCATCTCTCTGGCCATCAATCGGGCAAGTCGCATCGAGATCGCCTCGTTCTGCGCCTCCCGCGGACGAACCTCCAGACCAAAAGGACGAACGCCATCCCACACACTTCCTCCCCCACGCGCACATTCTGTCGCACCCCGAACCACGAGTTTTATACCATCATGTCCCTTTTTGGAACCTCCCCGACGGAGGAATCTCCGGGCATCAGTGCTACTGGCGCCCCGAGCAACTCGCTCTTCGATGAGGGACATCCGTCCAACAAGTCGAACAGCTCCCTCTTTGCCGACGACGACTTTTCCGGCGACGGGGGAGGCTCGCCGTGGGACATGCCCACGCCTCGCAAGCAGAAGACCCGCGCCGATCTCCTCCGAACCCTGCTCCCCACCTCCGACGCGCCCGACAGCTACATCGACACGTTTGATACCGTCGTGCAGGAAGATGGCAGCAACGGCAGAGTCAATGCGAGCGGCGTCGCCAAGGTCTTTGCCGCTGCGAGACTGGGCGCCGACGAGCAGGCCAGCATCATGGCCATCATTGCGCCCAACGGCAATGACGTCGCCGTGGGCCGCAACGAATTCAATGTCTTCCTTGCCCTCATCGGTCTGGCGCAGGAAGGCGAAGCCATCAGCCTCGACGGTGTTGACGAACGACGAAGAAGTAAGTTTCAGGTTCCATCCCCCGTTCTTCGACTCGACTGCCTCTCCTGCTGCGCGCTCCCTCTCTCACGTCTCGGCCGCTGCCATGTCAATTGGCTCTCTGGCTCTTATCAGCTCAATCGGCAATCTCGGTGGGGGTGCACAGCTAATTGCCATAAACAACCTAGACCTTCCTAAGCCCAAGCTCGCTGGCGTGACCGCCGAGCCCGTGATGCCTCCGGTGTCCGAGCTTGCTGCCAAACCACCTCAAGCACCCGAGACGCCTGTGAAGGAACCGACGCCCGCACCGTCGCCTGCGAAGCCCAAGAACATTGCGCAAGCTCCGATGCAGTACCCTGACGCTGACGACCCTTGGGGCTCGCCCGACCTGCACAAGAACCACAACCACGCACCGGCGCCTCGACCTGCCCAAACCAATGGCGCCGCCTCGGCCAACCATGATAGCAATGGCCAGACAGGATTCGGTACAATACCCAGCACGGCGATAGCGGGGCGCACAATGTCTTCCTACACGACAGCCACTGTCAACTCCAACATTGCCTCGCCGCAACAGCCCACGAGCACCGGAGTTGGCGCATCTCCTGCTGGCGGTGGCTGGGGCGGCGGTTTCTTCGATGGAAGCAATGTCGGCGGCGGTTTCGCGGAGCCTCAGCCCAACCCCGTACTTCCGAGCCCATTTGGTGCCGCTGCCGAGCCCAACAGGCATCTGGCTGCTGCGGAGGCTACAATCACGCCTTCCCTGCGACCGCTGCCGAGCAACCGCACCGGCGGCGCTGTCGAGGAGAACATTGTCGTTTCCCTGATGCCAGAAAAAGAGGGCCTTTTCTTCTTCCAGCATCACAATTACGAAGTATCCTCCTCACGAAGAGGAAGTAAGGTGGTCCGCAGGTACAGCGACTTTGTGTGGCTTTTGGACTGCTTGCACAAACGATACCCTTTCCGTGTACTTCCTCTCTTGCCGCCAAAGCGTGTTGCAGGTTAGTATTCCTGTCCGACTTGAAGACTTCTGACTAATGCTCTGTGCCCCCAAGTCAACGGTAACCATCTCTCCAATGACGGCGCGTTCATCGAGAAGCGACGCCGTGGGCTCGCGCGGTTCCTCAACGCTGTTGTACGCCACCCAATCTTAGGACAAGAACAGCTTGTCATCATGTTTCTCACTGTACCAACCGTATGCTTGACTCGGCCAATTCTGACGCTGATCTTGAATGCTGATCAGGCTGTAGGAGCTCACTGTCTGGCGGAAGCAAGCTACAATCTCGGTGCAAGACGAGTTTGTTGGGCGCACTCTGCCCCCCGGGCTCGAAGACTCTTTGCCGGCCACGTTGGAAGAACTGTTCGACCGCAGCAGGACTGGCGTCAGACGCTCAGCTGAGCTTTACATCAATGTCTGCAATATTATGGACCGTCTTGTAAAGCGTAGCGACGGCGTTGCGGCTGACCACGCACGTATTGCTCTGTCGCTCCAGTCATTGACCGAACTCAGCAACGACACGTATGCCACCGACACGAATGACGTGCCACTGCTCAATGACGGCCTCACCGCCATGGGCAAGCACCTCAAGACTTGCCAGAGCCTGATGGAGGATGAGAGCAAAGCCTGGGATCAAGGCGTACTGGAGGACCTGAAGCGACAGCGGGACTCACTCGTCGCCATTCGTGAGATGTTCGAACGACGCGATCGACTGGACAAAGACAACATTCCCTACCTGGAACGGAGGATACAAACCAACGAGAGCAAACTTGCGAATCTTCGCGGCAAGCCGGATGGGCTTGTCAAGCCGGGCGAGATTGAGAAGGTGGTCGAGGCCATTATTAAGGTGAGAAGCCGAGAAGATCTCATTAAACGGCAAACACTAACATTCAACAGGACAAGGAATCCATCGTCAATCAGCACAACAGGTCCATCTTCGTCAAGGAGTGCATTCGCGACGAGCTCATCTACTTCCAGTCGACCCAGTACCACGTATCCCGATGGAACCAGGACTGGGCCCAGGAGAGGGTCAAGTACTCGGAGATGTTGGCAGACAACTGGCGCCGTCTACTTGACGAGCTCGACGGCATGCCTCTCGGCGACTAGGCACCAGCTTGACCGGCATCTATGTCTTGACCATTGATTTGTTTTTCTCGGCAGCTTGTTTTTCGAGCCCGCATCCTATCTCTCTTTACTTGAAGCGATATGGCGGTTGATGTAGATGAGAAGGGGCCAAGTGGTGTGGTATGTCTGTATCGTTGTACGAGACCTGGTCCGTTGTCTTTCTTCCTATTTGGTTTTCGCATTGTTCTAGCCATTGTGTACAGTCATCATTCTCTCAGACACTCTGTTGCTGTATACCCTCTGCGCAGACTGCTTTCAATATCTACCCGTCCGTGTTGCCATTTCACTGGTTGCTGTCGCGCGCCATGTGTTTTTTACATTGGGCCGTGGTGATTCTGGCATTTACATCCAGCGACAAAGAAAAGTCTTGGGCCATTGTGTGAAATGGTCATGTGAGCATTCCTTCAGGATAAAGCTCGGCACCGCGACGCAAATTGTGCACAGTAGCCGCGCAAGGTATTCAGGCTTGTGTGGTCCGGTCCCCTGCTTATTTTGTGGTGTTGGGCCATCTCGGTATTCGAGGAAATGAATAGCGACTGTGCCGCAGAGCACTGCCTGGGTAAAATGAGGCCAGCAATCCTACCATGGAGACTTGACAGCTTTGCTGCGGACGGAAACGTACGATATGAGACGACCTCGGATTAATAAAGCCAGGCGGCTCGCTGGTGATCAATAGCCGTCGCGGGAAGCTGGACATTGCACATAAGTGTCTGCGCATATCACTCGATCCTCAAAATTACGCTATTCCACAAGAGACACGATGCACCACTCATCTATATTCATTTTGAGCTTCTTAGCCGCAACAACCACAGCTTCCCAAGCCATCAGCCCCAACCCCCTACAAAATCTTCTCAGACGCCAAGATGATGTTGATGAGCCTGGAGAAGATGGGACGTCTCTGAGGGACGACCTTGTCGTATGTATTGAGGGCATGAACGGCGTCTTCGAAGCCGATGCTCCCAAGCCCGCCCCGGCGTTATCAGAGTGGATGGAAGCCAACCCATTCACTACCCCCTCGGAGTCGTCCGGCCCGGGCGGCGTGTGGTGCACCATGACATACCCCGCCAGTCTCTCCGAGCTTGTCACCCCTTACTACTCCAGCCACACAAGCTGGTGGTCCAGCATCAGCAGCGCGCTCGGCGGCACATTCACGTACGAGTGTAACGACGCCACGCTGACGGCCAACTTGATCGGCGACGGGCAGTACGAAGGCTGTTCCGATGGATACGGTGTTCTCTTCACCGGACCGGGTATCACAACGTTCGCTCCTCTGGACACGGTTCCATCCACTGCCCTCTCGGCTGCCAGCGCGACGCCTACTTCCGAGGCGCTGACGAGCGTGGTCTCTGAAAGCGAGACCGCGAGACCTACTACGGCATCTACAACGTCGCCTCCTGAGGTGACGGGTGCCAATGGGGCGAGCAGGCTAACAGGAGCTGTCGCTGCCGCGGTTGCTGCGATAGGAGCTATTGGAGCATTGACGTTATGATAGACGACTGGAAGATAGTTGAGCTGCGAATTTGCCAGTCAAGGGGTTGTTGATGAGGAATAGGTTGCTCGGTTATCTGGCACAGTTTTGCGCACTGGAAAAGCACAAGTGCTGTGACTAGATAGACGTACAAGATAAGACGGACCCCTACAGATCGTAAATATTCTAAAAGGAGTACAATCAACAGTGAAAGCGCTCGTTATGAAGAAGAAATGATCATACACTTTGTGTCTCCCAGATCAGTGCCAACCTGACAAGTGGATGGCCAAGTCTTAGCTCACAAGCACATGGAACGAGCACCGTGTCCAAGAAAGATACTAAATCATGTATTTGAGGTCGCTCGAAGCATTATAACCTTCCAAAAGACCATCTTACCCATCGTGTAGTTCCAAACCACGACTCCACCAAGACAAGCCAGAGAATCACACCCGGAGAATGGAAAATCGCACAGCCAAGAATGGCCTGGCATCTTTGGTGTTCAAGAACGCAGAACTGTTTGCGCTCAGTCGCACCACATTTCCACTCGCACACCCTTGGCTTCCATGCCCTCAAGTACCTGGAAGTCGAGTTCCTCCTGCCTAAAGGCCACCACAATCATGCTGAACCGTTGGCGAAGAGATTCGCTGTTCCATTCAGAGGCTTCGTCCAGCTTTTTTATCTGTGGCACGGCCTCTTGCTTGACGAGTGGATCAACCCAAGTAACTTCAACCTTCTCCGTCAGCACCAAGCTCCTGGCCAAGTCGAGACCAGGAGAGTTGGCTAGATGAGACTGGCCACGCTTGAAGCCAATACCAACGACGAGAACAGAGGGTCTCCTAGTGTTGAGCTGGAAGCAGTCTGTCGTTGCATCATTGTAAAGGGCTTCTACAACCCTTTCGGCCACAGTTGCGGGACGAGCTCGCATCTTTTCTGTCGCGGCTTTGAGTAGGGGAAATGCTGAGTTGGAGAGCAGATAGTATGGGTTGACTGGTATGCAGTGTCCTCCAACGCCGAGAGAAGGGGCGAATGGCATGTAGCCGAAGGGCTTGGTCGACGCCGCGCGGCATACCTCATATGGGTCAACCTTGTGAGGGGCGCAGGCGTCGGCCATCTCGTTGGCGAAGGCGATGCACATCATGCGCTGGCAGTTCTCGTACAGCTTCATCATCTCGGCCACTTCAGGGCGACTGACGGGGACGACTTGGTCAAAGACTTGCGAGTACAGCCGGATGATGGCATTCAAAGATCCAGGAACCACGTCGTCCAACCCAGATACAATCTTGGGGATGGCATATGCGGGTGGTTCTGTGCGGCCAGGGTCGACACGTTCTGGTGACATGCCAGCGAAGAAGCCGCGTTCCTTGGCAAGGGTGCCGAGGAGGCTGCGGGTCATGCCAACCGCAACAGACGACTCAACAACGACCACCGAGCCCTGTCGGGCGTAGGTGGCAATGTTGTTAATGGCAGACCTCAGGAAGGATGAGTCGATGGTCTGATCGGGGCGAAGAAGTGTCGGCACAGATATGAGAAAGTGAGTGGCGCGAGCGAGGTCTTTCGGCCTGCATGTGAACTTGGCCCTGGTGTCGGAGGGAAAGGTCTCCGCCAGGTGCCGCACTCGAGCTTCCGAGACATCGAAACCGAGGACGTCGTACTTGCGAGCAAAGTTGCTGACGAGATGCTCGCCAACGTATCCAACCCCGAGCACGGCCACAAGTGGCTCATGATCAAGCTGTACAGAACCGGAGGCGGCTTCGCAGAGCTCTTCATCGGACTCGCATAGCTCAGTAGGTGGTGTCGTAGGGTAATACTCGTCGACCGTCGAGTATACCCACGAAAGCTTCCTGTCTGCAGGAACAACAAATCGACAGGCTGGAGATGAACCAGCTGCGAACAACTCAGGGGTATCAGGATATGGACCTGCAGCCATGTTGAGCACTGACAGGTGGAAAAATGCAACTAAAGACAAACAGATGCGTAAATAAACTATGCTGAGGTTTCTTGTTTGAAAATCAGAGATGAGACGGTATGCATCAGTGACTGTTCGAGCTCAGAGGGCGGGAAGGTGGCTCTTCTTGAAAGCGTCGGCTCAAAGTATTCGGGAGCTAGTAGGTGGAAGAGAGCGAGGCGTTCAAGCAAGGCAACGAGAAAAGCCAGATTCGTCATATTATGATCAAAGGGTGCTCGGCAAGGATCTCTGCATCTTGCAGTAGTAATAATGGGATAGACGAACAAGGGGTAGCATAAGTGGCGTACAAGAAAAGAAGCCAACTAACACGGCTGGATGAACACCACGCCAGCCTCGTAAACGCCTTGCCCGGACTTCACGGATACTCATCTCGATGACCCGAACCTTTACGGGTAGCAGAGATGAGAGGCTGGACTGCAGTTGGAATGTTCGGTGCAGACCTGCGCCGGGCCCGAGATGGTGATTTCAGGTGAAACAAGACAACGCACCATGCGCATCGTCTTCAGAAATTTGAGGCCACGAGGTACCGAAGTTGAAAGTAGCCAATCCAAGCCGGATCTGACAGGGAACATTAGCCGCACTGACGACAGTAGTGTGCCAGCTGGCCAGTGTATCTTCAGAAAAGACAAATACCGAGACTTCAAGGCGAATGCCAGCCTTGATCGACAAGATCATCAACATGAGCCTATGTGGCTTGGATTATTGCCCGAGCATCCCATGCAACAACTGACGCTTGCTGCCGTGTTGGTCAAACCTGAATCTAGTCGGGCGGGCAGGAAACGAACCTTCCGCATGACACCAGAGCTATGGGGAATGGCAGCATAGGTGACTGTTGCTCGGTCTGTAAAAGTCTTGCGGTGAAAAAATTGGGGGCGCGGGGGTGGTTTCTCCCGTGCCCACAAGAAAGACAACCTTCGGCCCAGGCCCAGTGACCAGACACAGTGAATAGAACAAGATCAGAAGCCTGACCGACATCTCAGGCTTGGCCCATCTTGTATGGCTGTTGTGCCCTCAGTGAACAGCTCTTGTTAACATTGATGTCTTTTAGTGGATCCAGAACAAATCAAGTGAGGTGTTTGATTCAGCATGACACATGGTACTAGACTTTGACCAGACAGGGAACCGGAAGGCTGGAACCTGAGATCCCGGTAGCTAAGCCCTAAAGCGACCAGTACGGTACAGAACTGTTATGCCCGCTGTGATTAATTGTCGTGAGGAAGTGACGGAGAGACGTTGAAGCGTGTGCGGTCTGGATGTTAGACCCCCTATTCGATATATTCATAGTAAATGAACTAGGGGTTTCTTGTTTTGACACCCTTGGCCTCCCTGGGTTGGCCTTCTGGAGGACGTGGAGGCTGCCACCTCCTGCTGTAGAGCTCAAAAAAGGACTGAACCCTTGTTTCGGGCTACCAGATATATGATTCCGATTGGTAGACCCCTCCGATCATCTTAAGCCACCACTGCACGGGGGCGGGCTCTGCAACTCAGATGTCCCGTCCTTTCATCCGACAGTTGGTGCTACCTCAATCCCACCCTAATTGCTTTTTTCTCGTCTACTAAAGATCTTCATGCAGGTACTGTAAGGCACGAAGATACTCACCCGTTTTGCGTCAGCGATTAGCGCCACGCCACGCTTTGTACCAACATGCCAAGGGGCTAGTGTAACAAAGCTTGAGCACACCGACAAGTGCAGCAGGGGCTTTATAGCGATATGTCACGGAAGCAGAATGAATGGGAACGAAACATTCTATTGATTTTGACAATGACCGACGACTTCAGCTCGACAACATCGTCATCCGCGCGGTCGCCAGAAATGCAGTGTGTTGGTAGCAAGGTGTACGAGATCAGCGTCTACATCATGGTTATTATCCCTCTGCCAATCTATCTTATGCGGCCTTTCCTCAGTTGAACTAGGTGGCGAGCACCGTTCGGGTAGATTGCGCCTGCCCACATTAAATGCATTCGGTTTCTAGCAAATTCGGGATTTCTTTTGTCGTCAGCCAGCCGGATGACACCACAATCTTCCTTTCTACATCTTTGTTATCCCATCCCAGCCAGCCACTCCCACCACTGATGCCTCACAACCCCGAGTCTGATCTTGCCAGCCCCCTTGAACACCTCTGCAAAAGTCCCACGCGACCTGCAGAGTTTGTCTTAAACCGGATGGCAGCCGCAGCTTTGCGTGAGACAGGCCCCTGTCTATGAATTTCCAGTTAAGATCCCAGTCAAATGAACATTATCGAATCACGGCGTGCGACTGATAGATTGCAGTGTTTCCTGTCATAATCTAGGTCCGATATTCGGGAGCAAAAACGGTAGTGCACGAGCCTATCCACCTGGTACGAAGAGTTTCTTTTCTTTGCGACAATTATTTGGTCTGTATAATTGATTCATCGGCTCATGGTACTTACAATTATCCCATACTACTGCAGAGAAAATCGCTCTTAGAAGTTAAGTGGCGGATCAACTGTATTTGATGTTGAATATTGGGATCAAGTTTGCTTTTGAGCTACAAGTACTACGCAGTATTATCAAACTGTTTTTTTTTGGAATACTAAAAATGTTCCTTGTCTTGGACGGAGTACCTGCGCCTGCATAACAGATCGGACACCAGACTTTCTGGCCTTCTTCAAATGCCGGTGACTTTTTACGAGTCAGTCTCAAGGAAGGGCTCGTGCGCTCGAGGTCTATTCGGAAAGGCACCAGCTGCAGTAAAACTAAACTCCAAGGCCTTTTTTTGTCCGTTTTCTTGGCACTGCAGCCCCATAACCAACAAAAAACAGTCCGCGTGAACTGTCAGTATCAGCTCGTATTGTTCAATAGGCGCTGACTCCAAACTTCGCCTCTCCGCCACGTCCCGTGCATTGGAAT